GCTCGGCCAAACATTTGTCAATATTCCAAATATTGCGACCAAAAAAATTATCAAACTACATTTGTAGGTAAAACATTGAAAATGTACTGTTCTTAAATGATGTAATTTGGCTGTACATGACTCATGCGAACAGTTTAAAGATGTCCTTCATACATTGCAGAATGTAATTATTAGTCTCTTATGAAAATTTTCAAAACGTGAGTTAAGCGAAAATGTAAATCAATGTAGTCAAGAAGCACTGATTTATTCGAACAGAACAGGCACAAACGGCGACAAGACGCGCAAAGAAAGGCACACAGTTACATCAATGGCATTATTTTACATATTATGTGCCCTATTACGACAGATTTCTTTATGGGTCTTCAAGGATGAGCTGTGGGAGTAACATTTATCACACAGTGAACACCGATACGGCTTCACCTCTGTGTTTCCGCATGTGCACATTTAAGTGGCAGGACTGCGACGGGCAGAGCGGGCATTTGAAAGGTTTCTCGCCCGTGTGCACGCGCTGATACCTGGTCCAATGAGAAGCATCGTTGGTGGCTGCACATGAAGCGGGTTTTGACTATCGCTTTGAAAGAGGATCATACTCATAGCAACAAACCGTTGTGTCGTCTCCGGTGACAATGGATTGTAATTATTTTTCATTCCTTTGACAGAGCTGTAAAAAGGTGTCGGGAACATGTCACTCTTTGCTTCTTTTGGACTCACAACAGAATGATCCGAAAAACAGTTTCCGGAAGTCCCAACCTTGCACTGATTTCTTTGAGTTTCAAACTATCATTAAGCAGTTCTTCCATAAACGACATATTTTCCATAGCCATCCCTCCCAAGTGTCGGCCATCACGAGGTTCAACGGACTCTTTGCCCACGCGGAACTACTTGGTCTACTAATTTTACAGAGGAGTATGATGTAGAGGCTTCCCTCGTACACTCGTCATTTCACGATTATTTGGGAGAACGCCACTTTCTTCCCAAACACTTTATCACACCTGGATACTCAACCGAATCAGCTTGAGAAGAAAAGGAACAAGTCAAAATGCAATTTTGTAAATTTGAAGCATCCTGATGGAGGCAAATTCAATGCTTGCGATGGGCGCCTGAATACTTAAGATGCGCCTCTGCAAGCATGGTGTGCGATACCATGCATGCAATACTACTTTTTTAATTAAAAAAAACAAAAACATTTTAAACGTAATTTGTTAGTCTTCGAGTGGATGTTTGCTCCAAATGTGAAGAGCAGCAGGGGTGGAGTAATTTTAATAAAATAATAAGCGACACGCAGCATGTGGTACAGCTTTCAAAGAACATATACAGAGTCAAAAGCATTTATGCAAGTAGTTTCAAGAGCGCTCGCGTGTATGCTTTTTCAGTATGTAAAATTGAGAATGTTTTCTGCTGCTTCTGTATGAAATTCGTGGCTTATTTTGTGTATATAATTTAAATACAGAAAAGTCTTACATATTAATAACAGCCTTTTATTTTCGAATTAAGATTTTGTGTTCGGAAATGATAGAATATAAAACTAATGTAAATTTATGGAGTCACATTTTACAAGAGTCCAAATGGTATGCACTCCAAATTCGCTGCCAATTACTAGTACATCAAGTATCATACAATATGGAATAAATCTGAATTTGTTGAATCAACTGAAATACATGGGCATATTTTATAAAAATAAATTCTTCCATGTAATCCGGTCACAAATCATTAAGGCAATTAAAACAAAATTGTTCATGATTCTGTAAATATTGTGATCCCAAAGTTCGGCAAACGCTCTCTCTCTAGCTTTATTTCAGAAATGGACACCTTATGTAAAAAAACAACAACAACAAATATAGTTGTGTCAGTTTTACCGTCGGTTAGATTTGTAGGGGAAAACGTCTTGTCAGGTCTTGAAATCGTGTTGTCACGTCGTAAGACGTATTTGTAAGATACGAAATGAGCAATAATAAATTGTCGTTTATCGGCAATTTATTTCAAATTGCCTGGTTGGTAGACACCAATGAGTAATTCAAGCAACCACCTCGATTTCTCAAACGTTACATTTAGTTGCGTTTGGTCACATCTCATTTGTTGCAACTTGCTGCTGAATTTGCATCAGTAGCGGCGGCGTTCGCTCCACTGAGCAACCTCCACAATTCTCAGTTGTTCCATTTGGCTCCAGTTGTCCTCATTTTCCTTTCACTTTGAAACCGTTATGATATTTATCTTCCTTTTCTCATTGAATTGTTCATAATTTTAGAGAAAATTGGTCCAATATCAATATTTTACTAGGATGCAGTATTTCCTACAATTCCTTTCCCTATTGTGGTACTAAATTAATCGCTATCACTTGTCTAAATGTGACAAACGATACCTTACTCCTCACACAACGCGTACACAACTATGTGTAAGCGCTCACGAGCATTTTTTACGAGGGGGGGAGGGAGATGAAATAGAACACTTCCAACGTAAATAATGATATATTGGCTTGCGACCTCTCGCGCTCTAGAGCAATGCGCTACAGATTTGAAGTTAGTAAGTGTTTGGAATGCATTAGAGCTTACCAACATCCGCCTACCCCCGTAATTAAACCGCGGAGTAAGACGTTTTCCGACAATAGGTCATTGCAGCATGGGTTCAGAGGTGCATAGTTGTGGAGTTGTCTGCATTGTTCACTTCAAAGAGCTTTTTGTTACAAAGTGACGTACCTCCGTTTCCGTTTGTTTTCTCATTTCACTAATCAATATATTTTAAAGACGCTTCCCCTTCATACTGACGAATATTGGGTTCAAAAATGACGTTTCTCCCCTGTCAAATGGTATCCGAAAACAGATTAAACAGATTGTGCCCTCAAAACCAACTGCAAAATTGTTTCATGGGTCATGTCACTTTGGAAATCAGCTCTTTAATTATAGTTATTCTTGTTCTACCTTTTCAAATGTTAGGGTAATTCTACCCTCCCAATACGGCTGCAATGTTAGTCTGAATTCGCTTTCAGTTTCAGTTGGTAGCTCAAGCGATGCTCAGCCTTCAGGTCAGGCGATGTTTACGTACGAGATACGTAAAGAACAGAGCGATCTCATCCTGCCAGAATTCCTTTATCTTCTAAAGTGTGGAAGGTGATAAGCAAAAAGCCTTCGGTAAAAAGTTGTTCTATTTGAGCATAGCTCAAACAGAACAACTTTAGGCGTACTTGCTTAGGCATACTAGCGGTCCATGGTTTGAAAAACGACTACGCGCACACATCACAACAACGCAAGGTGAACGTTGAACGATGAAAACACAATGATGACAAAAAGAACACAGACCACGTGTCCCCT